CAATGCCAATTCCGAGTTCTGTTTTATTAGTTCTGTTCAAACTTGTGAATACACAATCTAATTTTTACCATCTCTTTGTCCCCTTACTTATTCCTGGCTTTCATTCCATCACTGAATTTGGCTCCAGTCCTATTCTCTTTTATAGATAAGATGGGTTGGCAAAAGATCAGTGGCAGATTAACCAGAGTGTCCGTTTGCCTGATGGCAAGTGTGTCCTGTTAAACATTAGACAATATGTTTAAACTATTAATGATTTTTAATAGCTTGAAGATATAAAAGAAGTTCCAAAATTGTTATTGCACTAACTAAAATTTACATTGTATTATTATGTTAGTAAAATAACAATAATATTGATAATTTGTGCCAGCTTTTGTCTGCCTCCAGTCAGATCTGGTTTCCTGTGTGCTATTGGTAAGACCCAGAGCAGTGGTTCCCAAAATTTTTCCTCCAAGTGTTTGGACTTCAACTCTCAGAAATCCCAGCCAGCCTAGCAGCTGTTAAGAATTGAGGAAGCTGAAGTCTTAAAAATCTGGAGATCCAAAGGTTGGGAACCACTGACTTAAAGGAAAGACTGGCCATTGCTGATGTTATTGAATGAATTTTGCTCACTGTTAAAATGCTTTTCATTCCTGGTTCTGAGTTGCCATATTACTATATTAGTTGGGTTTACCCAGATTCTGGGACCATTTTCCTAGGTTGTCGCCATGCCCATTTTGATGGTCCGCCTCCAATCTTTGGTCCTATCTACTGAGCCTAAATGAGGCTTGGGGTTTGGTGCCACTGGGCCAACAGATTCCATCCAGCCACTAGGTGGCTCAGTGCCGGTCAGTGCTGACACCTATCAGCTGTCAATCCGGTTTAATAGTTGGCTTTGTACACTCCCGTATTGCTGATCCAGAGTACCCCACTGCAAATCAGTGTCAAAGTATGTATAGATGGGCCATTTATCTGCCCTCATTCTATGATTCCAAAGGAATCCAGGCTTGTGATCTCCAAAGATCCCAGTTCCTGATATTTTTGGTCCTGTCCTGACAATCCTAATCATGATCAAAACTACTCTAAATCCTGTGTTCTAGAGAAGGCCGAAGATGAAACAGTATCACTAAACTGTTCTATCAATCCCAGAACATAAAACACAATGTTGAACTTAAGTCAACTTGCAATAGATCCCTTGTTGACATAACTAAGACTTCAAATTGCTTCCAGGCATGTGGGAAATACACTGTAAACTACGATACAATTACATGGTTGTATTAGGAGCAGGAAAGGCTCATTCAAAGCTCATGCAAGAATTCTGCATTTCAATACTAATATAAAATATTAAAATGTGAACACTAATTATTGGCAGATGGGGTTTGTTTTCAGCCTTTAAACCAAAAGTAGGACATTTTATGGGAAGGAGTCACTATATCATATTTACACTAAAAAGCAATGAAACTCTCATTAATTAAATTTATGCTGAAAGGAGGGGGTATGTAATCTACTTACATTAATTCTAAGTTGGTGTTTACATTTATGGTATATTTTAAAACTACAAACCTTAAAATGAAGGTGAAACATCATACCCATTATTTTCTACTAGTCTTAAGCTAAAAACAGGGACAGGATATACCCATTTAAATAGAATGGCTTATATTTTGAATTGATACTAAACTAAAATCTTCCTTCAGTTGCATTTTGGGAGAAAAATCATGTCATAGATTTAAAAAACATCTTGTTTACCTAGCTTTGGACTTCCGCTATCAGGGTCTGGGTATAGTGACTAGCTCTTGTGAGAACTAAAATTACAACATTTTGAAGAACTGAATTTTGACAACCATTACCTTAAAATGCATGGGCCTTTTTCTATTCTATCCCATACAAATACATTTTAAATATATATGCATTAGGTATATCTATTAACAGTTGGAAAAATAATACATGGAGAGAGGGGGAGAGGGAGGGAGAGGAAGGGTGGAAATATCATAGAACATGGAAATGCAGTTCCCCATGTCATTCACTGGAAAATGCATCAACATTACATAGAAGGAGAAGGAGGTGAAAGGGTACTTTATGTTACAAGCTATGTTTTCTTTACACCCCCCCCCCCCCCCCACCTAAAGCTGCATGCTGAAGGGGAAGCTTTTATATCCTATTTCAAAACGAATTCTACTATCATTGCCCAAATAATCATTGTCCAACAATGTTTTACAGCACACAGATATGGCTGCAGTTAAAAATACATCATTTTATGGTGCTACACCAGACATTTCTGGAATGCTTGTCCATCCACTGAAATTAAGACATTTTGCCCTTGGGAGTGCTAGGGCAATTCTACATTGTCTCAAAGCACCAGATCAGTTGGATGTCAGTTTGTTTTGTTACTTGGACACCATCAAGGTAAACAAAGGTGGCTGTGACACCTCCAGCTCAAACCCACTGGTTAACATTCTATGAACTGGAGCAGAGGTGAGCAGAATATAGATTGGGATCTACTGGCATTTTAATACTTATTCTTATTTCTAAAATGCTTTTACACTTTTCAAAATGCTTAAAACAAGAATAGCCCTGAACTTTGGGCAGAACATGAACAGCAGAATGGCTCCAAAGCAAACCAGCCTCTTGTCTATATGGGCTAGTGTCTTCACTTCCCTTTCCCTGCTTGTGTTGCCCCCATTATCACTGGGGATGGCTGGATTGCTCCAGAGAGCTCCTGGATGTTTTGGGCACCTTTGCTGACATCAGGAAAAGGTGCCTTTATAATCGGGCATAAGGAGGAGGAGATTGCTGCCCTCTTCCTGGTTATGCAGGTGACTTTGCTTTCTGGCAGCAGTAAAAGCAATAGGAAAGGTAAGGCTGACAGTCCTGCCAGATCAAATTGGGTTCATTCCTCTCAGACTAAAGTTCTGCCCACCACTACTGTGGGTCATGCATAGAGCATCTAAACACAACCTCCAGGTATAGACAGGAGGATTTCTGCTCTGTAGTTGTTCTTGGTAAGTGTAGATGAGCCCAAAGTGATGTCAAACTGCATTAATTATGTGTTGTTGAAGGCTTTCATGGCCAGAATCACTGGGTTGCTGTGAGTTTTTCAGGCTAAATTGCCATGTTCTGGCTGCATTCTCTCCTACCGTTTCACCAGCTTCTGTGGCTGGCATCTTTAGAGGTTCTGTTGGCAGTGAAGATATACCCAGTGTGAAGCAGTTGAAAAAGATACACTAAAACCTGGGAATGAATTCTTCTGAATTCAACAGAAATTACTTCTGAGCAAATTAAATGCACTTGGGGTGCATGGTGAAAAATGGAACACATCTTGAAAGGATTGCTAGTTATTAAGAAGCATGCTTAAATGAAATTGAGTTCTGTGCAGCAGGTAAAAATGCCTGCATTTAAACAAAGATAGACTATGGGGCTACTGATTCAATCAATCCTCAATAAAAGAGAATACCAATACAACACCCACATTGCATAAAGAAAAGTGCCTGTGAAGGAAGTTTGTGATTTTCTAGACTGCAGGAAAACAAAGCTTGCTACATGTTTGTTTGTCTGTATGAAAAACATTTTAAATTGTAATGCTGGTAAACAGAGAAACAGGGAATTAAGCCTGCCAAATAAGGACAGTAACAAAGTACTTCTACATAGAAAGTATAAAAAATAATGAAGCATGTTGATAAGGAGGACAGTAAGGCTTTTAGAATTTGAACTTCTGGGAAATTATTAGAAATCTCATGCGTATTTAAAATATTTTGACATGTGAATGGTGGAAATGTTAAGTACAGGCAGTCCCCGAGTTACAAACATCCAACTTACATATGACTCCTAGTTACAAATGGGCATGAGACAATAGGAAGTGAAAAGAAATCTACCCCCCATGAAGGGAAATTCAATCTTGTAGGAATTGTCATGAGGAAATGTCTCCCAGCTGAAACTTTATCACCAATCCTTGTTTCCACAACAAGGCAAATTTTTCAAAATCCAGTTGTCACAGGAAAAGTGAAATCTTATGAAGAGGAGCACAGACAGCATAATAGACGTTACAGGAGCATTAGCCTTCCCTGTGCTATTAGCTGGAGTTACATTTTAAAAAGTGTACATTCAAATTTACATACAAATTCAACTTAAGAACAAGTCTATAGAATCTATCTTGTTTGCAACCCGGGGAGTACCTGTAATGTGGAAATGATGTTTACAAGCAAATGAAATAAAAGACCATCAACTTGCCACAGACGTGTCTTCCACTGTATAACTTCATGCTTTTTTGAGCTGGGAAGTTAATTTTTCTAGCAGAGTATGATTTTAAATTTGTATGATACATTTCTGAAAGACAGGTGATTTACCCATTTAAGAAGATGCTGTATACCAGGACACATTATTTGTCCCTATTCCTCAGTATTGTCAATTCCAGCAGCAGTTCTTCAGGGTTTTAGGCAGAGAATGATTCTGTCCAATCACCATCTTCTTCCCAATCCCTTTAATTGGATGCTTGGAATTGCTCATGGCACTCCCAGCACACAAAGCAAATGCCTTGCCATTGAACCGTGTGGTGAGTTTTTAATGCAGGTACATATACACTGAGACTCTGATATAATCCCAAGGATGAAAAATGAGTAGAGGCAATGGTATGGTATTGCATGACAGGGCAAGAAGAGACACAAGATCAAATTCACACATTACTTGGACTGTAGAGGTTTTTTTCTTGACTTTTAACAAGTATTAACCGAAGTTATAGGGAGGGGTGGTGCCAGCCTTTCCCATCTATAATGGATCACAGCCATAAAGTCACTCAAACAGCACAAAATGAAAAAAGGAAAGTGACAGCATGCAGCAACTGTCGCAGCAAGTGGTAAGGAAGTGCAACTACTGTTTCTTTGGCAGGAGCAGACGGAAGAAAAAAAACCCATTCTGTTTTTTGATAGTGTGCTGTGTGTGCCACTGCCAACCAATCCCATGGCTGCATGCTGGAAAACTGGCTGCCATGGTTACCATGTAAACAGTGCTTTGCTTAAGTAGAAGCTGCTGAGTGCAGTTGGCTTTGTAGTGCACAGCTGTTTGGAAACTCAGATTTTAAATCAATATACTATTGCTCAGGCACCACTACCAGTCCCTAGAAATCAAACACTTATTGGGCTCTAGTGTTTTGCCATATTTGAAAGGCAACAGTGTTGTATTTCACAGTTCCATAGGATCAGGGTCTTCTTTCTGACATCCTGCCTGCAGATACCACATTTATCAGGACCTCATCAACTAGTCAACCATGACAGAAGGCATGATGACCGCTTCGGCCAAGAACATCAGGATCAAGAGGAGCAGCATCGTCATGCAGGTGTAAGTACCATTGTGTTGCAGTCATGATGACGCTGGATGTGACAGGAAAGTGTGTGTGTGTGTGGGGGGGGGGGGAGCAGGCTTCCTCATGTTGCATTGAGGTAACATCTCAGCCTTTCTTTGTTTCATGAATTTTGAGATATTATTAAGGGAAAACATGTGATATTTTACCAGAAAGGCTGAGGCATGGGATGGAGGAGAAAGAAGTGAAGCTAAGTTTCCTTTTGCACATACACCACTATGTATGGAGAGGATGAACAATGTAGGCCCGAATTAATATTTGATCATTCCTTTTGTCACCCTGTCCTAATGTCACTTTTTGTTTTGGAATAGGGGCTTGATCTAACTGTTCAAAAGCAGCATACATGGATGGAAAAATAGGACTGAGAAATAATATCCTATGTTAGGAGGAAACATTCTCCAGATCTTGTTGGATTATAGCTCCCCTCACTATTAACTGTGCTGATTAGGAATTGATGGGAATTGTAGTTTAACAATATCTTTAAAATCACAGCTTGTCACCTTGCCTTTGGTGATGATCTTATTGGAAGCTGTAATATTATTCAGTTGTACAAACAGTAATGTCAGCCATCATGTCTATTTTTATTTTAAGTATTTAGCTTTGTACTTCAAACTAAATATTTAGTGTTATCTCGAATCCTGAAATATGAAACACTCTAAAATCCAAAATTGTCCTCATAGATGGCTGAGTCAGTAACACCTTTGCTTTCTGATAGTTCAGTGTACACAAAAGACATTTCATTCATACAATTATTAAAAATGTTTCATAAAATTACCTATCTGTATTAGGTATGTATGAAACATAAATGGATTTCATACTTAGATTTGGACCCTATCTGCAAGATATCTTATTATGTATTTATGTGCAAATAGAGGTATTCCAAATATATTTTTATTTCAAAACTTGTCTGGTCTCTAGTGTTTTAGATATGGGATACAAAGGTATTTATTATTACCAATGTTTTCCATTTGAATTCACTTTGTCCTGAAATAGTTTACCATAGTTGAAGAGAAGAGCCCATTTATATGTTTTTGTGCAGCTAGTGATCTTTTTTCCACTTGTCAACAGAGGTTATAAAGCAAGGACTCCGTTTACAAAGCAGCAACAACAAAAGTCTTGGCCACTTCTTTTTTTTCTGATAATCCTCTCCATACTCCAAATCCTCTTATTTACCTCTTACTGAGAAGATTGCCTATACCTTACCATCTACTCTAGTGGTTCCCAACCTTTTTGACTAGGAACCACTTGGCCAGGGACCACTCTCCAACATTAGTACCAAAAGGGTTACGAATCAGCTTCTGGTCAACTTTGGATTTGCTTTGGATTTGGGGAGCTGATTCAGAAACTTGCATTGGATAGACCACATCAGCTCTAGTTTCTGATAACTATGTCATCCAGTAGTCACCATCTGCTCGCCCACAGAAAACCATATTTAATAATCAGGAGCTGCTGTGGTAGTAGTAATCTTTTGTGGGCAGTCAGCCTCTCCCCTCCTGACATCCCCGTTACCTCTAAACTCTAAGAGGGTTTTGAGAGACCAGTCACTCTAGTTGCCATGTGGTTTCAAGGCAACGGTGTAGTAATGGTGAGGTTGCAGACCATATTTTCATCCTTGGGGATCACTCGTGGTCCACGGACCACAGGATGGGAACCACTGATCTATTCCCTGGCTCTAACCAGCATCTTGGGTAAAATCATAAATGATATTCCAGGAAGATGGTTCTCAATTCCATCAGAAACCATGATGCACGTTTTCTGCTTCTCTCTCCTTAATGTATCTTTTCTTTTTCTGTTTTTGAGAGAGAAAGAGAGAAAAGACATCAGATGCAGCGAGAAACAAAAAGAATACAAATGAAACACAGTATTGTTTGTAAGATGCATAACATTTTGTGAATAACAAAGGGTACACTTTATGTCACTTACAAAAAAGAACTATGGTATTGCCTCCCCTTCTAAGGTGCTTTAGGCCCCATCTACACTAACATATATATGGCCAGTGTGGACTCATATAATGCAGACTGAACTGCTTTGAACTTGATTATATGAGTCTACACTGCCATTATAATGGCAGTGTAGATGAGCCTTAGAAATGGTGACAAGGTATGATAGAATCTGCTAATGGATACTGACAAATTTAAATTTTCCTATTTGCTGAGCCACCTCATCTGCTGCACCAACACACATTTTTTTTCCTTAAACTAGGCCGCATAAAGATTCTACTGTGAATAAGAAAGTAATGACATCTTCAGCTTCTGCTAGACGAATGAGCATCTACAGCAGTATGCAGACCAGCAGAGTTGGATCGATGGCGCGTCGGAGCATCCTCATGACAGAGGGAAAGACTGGGGACAAGGGTGCTTTGGCCGGCACCAAACATGTTGTCGTGGTAATGGGGTTATACTATAGCAATTAATATACTCACATGGGGAAACAAATGCAATGACACTATCACCTCAGATGTATTCTTATTAAAAGCTTGATAATACTTGACCAGACTAGATTAAGTTATCTGAAGCTTGAAGCTGTTTCAGAAGCAATCCCCTTATGCATATGTTCTGGCTTTCCTGTAGGAGAGCTGGATTTGCACTGTACCAGATTAGGTTGGGTGGCCTTGCTGGGCAGAGAGTTGCCTTCTCTTGGACAGATTAAGCCATTCCCCTGCCTTTGTCCCAATTGGTCTGACCGAAGCCAGAATTTGGCATCGTAGTTTGACTGTTGGACCTTAACTCTGGGTTCTGCTTCCCGCTCCTGCAAGAAAAACCCATGTGATGACCCTCAGCAAGTCACATCCTCTCAGCCCCCCCAACTCTTGTGATATGTTAACTTTAGGGTTAACATAAGTAAGAAATGACTTGAAGAAACACAATAACAACAGCAACAGCAGCTACTTTTTAATATGACACAAAAGGAAGTAATCTCTCAAAAGAAATAAAAAATCAATAAGCTAGAATCTAGGAGCAAAAAGCAAGAACTTGTAACCAAAACTCCATATAAAAATATCAAACATATATAATTATAATGGAAAACAGTTAAAGCTTGAAAACAGTGTAAGACACATACATATATGCGCAACAACAACAACAACAACAAAAATTAAAATAAAAAAGAATCAACAAATCCTGAGCAAAGTGATATGGTGATACACACCAGAATAAAACCAAAATAAAGAACAAAGGTCCATAAAATATTTATAGAAAATTTAACAGAAAGCCTGAATTACGTTTTCCTTTCAGTTCTTTTCTGGAATACAATACTGAGGTTGATTTGGGTAAGGTGCAGCCAGACTTGATTCTCTCAGTGAGACTGTGGGAAAGTTACTGAAGCAAATAATTTTTTAAAAAGGGAATCACATTCTACAATTGCAAGACAACAACCCTGTTATAATTAGTCTGCATTTTAAGACCAAATGTGGCCACTTTAAAAAAAGATTTAAATATCTCACCAACAGTTTACAAAAACATTTTTGATACATATATGGTAGTTGTTATGTGCCTTCAAGTACTTTCAGATTTATGGCAACTCTAAGCAAACTTTCAAAGGTTTTCTTGGCTAGATTTGTTTAAAGAGGGTTTGCCTCTGCCATCCCCGGGAGCTAAGAGACTGTAATTTGTCCAAGTCCACACAATGGCTACATGGAGATATGAACCATGGTCTTCCAGTGTCCTAGTCTATGACATCTCAAACGTTTTCATTTGTGACCACTTGCAACTTGAGAATGTTTATGCAACCCTGATTATATAGGTATATAAAATTGGTATAAAGATAAAACATTTACTGATAACAAACCAGCATTTGCTAAACTGGCTGATTTTCCTTTTTATGGATTATAGCTGAAGCATCTTGTGCATATTCCATAGTACACACTGCACAGCAAAATTGTTTAAAGGTGTAAAACAACTACTAAATGAAATTCAGAAATCTTTCACTGTTATTGGAACTCCAATATTGAGCTAAGGGGACCCACAGTGTTCTCAACCAAGACTCGAACCGTCATACTACACTGGCTCCCCTTTATATATGCATTGCTGTGGTCCAGTCTGTGTATATGTCTTTTGTGTGTGTATATATGTGTATGTGTATATTTGTGTATATCTGTATATATGTGGTTTTGTGCATGTGTTGTAATGTGTTTTTTTTTTTGCTTTTTAAGTCCCTTCCTCTGTGTTTTTCAGTATTTCTATGACTGATGGTCACTTGTTGTCCTAATACGTGTATTGTGTTCAAATTTGGTGTCAATTTATCCAGTGTTTTTTGAGTTATGTTAATCCTACAAACTAACAATACATTTTTATTTAAATAGACACACACACACACACACACACACAGAGCAGTCTGTAATAAAAATCAGTGTGGTTCAGTGCTTTGAGCACTGGACAAAGAGTGCACTGGGACATTCTTCAGAGCCAAGACTGAAGATTGCTTTTTTAAAAAATCAATCCATTATGTAGCTGTATATCTCTTAGTTTTGTGAAACTGAAAAGAACAGGAAAGGCCTCGTTTGCCATTAGTTTCTCATTTTTGTTGTATCTACAGGTTTTTGATGATCTAGGGAGAGATGTGACACCGCGGCCACTATTCCAGCCAGAACCAACAGCTGCTATACAGAGACAAAGCAAAATCTTATCAGCACATGATTTTGCTGGAGTGACTCAAACTGAATTCTTATCTTCTTTTTCTGCACACCAAACATCTATGGCCAGCATTAGCCTAGCAGGCCCATTCTCCAGGTATGGCATGGCATCCCATTAAACAGTCTAGCCAAACTCTGTGGGCTCCATGGCCATGCACAGAATACACAGAATCCCTATGAGTCTAATAGTTTCCGTCTGACTACATAGTGGGTATTTTAAATTTTGATTGCGTGCATGTGAATTGCTTACATGCAATTAATATGTATTTTGTCTCTCAGAGCTTTTCCCTAGGAGAACTAGACTACCAAATTAGTTTGTAACCTTTACTTTCAGTGCACCATATTTTAGCAATCTATTTCTGGGGCACAACTTGAGATTTATTCATAATTACTTGCTATAGTGTGACAGCCGCTGAAAATAATTTTTGTGGTCTGGGTTCTGAGTACTATTGGAATACCTGAAACAGATTTCCATAAATCAGCAGTATTTGCAATGGAGAGACTTGGGGAAATTCTTGTCTCTTCAAGGAAGTGTGGTACTTCTAATAAGACTTATTTAATGTTATATCTCTTACTGACATGGGAAGCTGATTCAAAGAATGATATTAGATATTCAGAAGGATCAAGAGATAGAATCCTAAGAACTATGCTAGTTCAGAATGTCAAGAATCACATTTCTCTAAATAACCAATTTACTTTCAAGGGGATTTTAATCTGGGAAAGCATTAAAAGATATTGTTGTCCATGTGAATTCTGAGATGGTCCACTCCTAGGAGTACCTGAGTTAGTTCAAATTAATGTTGCCAGATTTCAAGATAGCAATAAGGGACAGTTGAAAGTCATGCTATGCATGGTTGACCCTCAGGAAGTAGCTCTTAACAAGTTCATGTGTTACCTAAATACCTAATGAAGGTATTAATTTCAGTTTGCTGTTTTTCTCTGTAAAGTTAACATATTGTCCATGCTTATAAATTACATTTCTGTCTTTATAAAGGGCCACACTAAAAATACAGGCTCTTTTTGGCGTCTCATTCAGTCTATATAACAGACTAAGTTTCCTAGCACATCCCTGGCGTTTGGTATTTCTTCCTTGATATTCTGTGTTGTTGTGCTTCAATACATGTTCACTTTCCCCCTGCCACTCACCAATTTTAGGACTTACGGTAGTAGCAGTATTACAAAGTCCAGCACTTCTACCGAATCATTGGCAGAAGAAATTATAGAACCTGGATCTAGACGAGAGACAATTGCAAGTTTTTCAGGTAAATTTGTACAAAACATTAGTATTGATATTAGTAATAATGAAACTTTTCTGATCATTTATATTTCTTTAAATATGAGACACATTTCTGGGGAATTATACAGCTGTGACTCTCTTGCATCTCCTCTAGGTTTCCCCAATAATATATGGTAAAAGAAATGCCATGTGTGATGGCTTTATGCAGTGTTTTCCTCCTACTACTTCTAGGCTGCTGGGTGAGAAAATGCATAATATAGTGATGTCACCTCATGTAAAACTTTTATCCTGAGCTTGCCATGTTGCTGCCTGAGGAAGAATAGCAAATGTTGCTCGACACACTGAAAAAGGGCACTGTATTAAAGAGTGTTCTTGATGTTTTGGAATTTGAGATATGAAAAGAACAGAAAAAAAATCTGATATCCATGGTAGAGCTGTTATGTAATTTTAAGTTGACTCCAACTCTATTCTATGGTTTTCTTAGCCAGACTTATTCAGAAGGGGTTTCCTATTGCCTCCTCTGAGACTGAGAGAGTGTGATATTTCCAAATTTACTTCCATGGATGAGTGGGAATTCAAACTCTGGCTCACTAATCCAGTTCTCAAACTATATATCACACAGATTTGTGGCTATCTCTATTTTTACTAAACATTATCAAGGAGGAATAATATGAACTAGCATTTATATATTTATTTATAGTACTTATATTACACCCTTCTCACCCTGAAGGGGACTCGGGGTGGATCACAGAACACATATACAGCAAACATTCAATGCTGATTATACAATAACAGGACAGACAACAGATAGAGGTGTATATATATAGGTTTTTTCTCATCATTCAGCATCTTTGGAGGCTGTGCTCGGCTGTGGCCAAAGGGGGTGCTAACGCTCCATCTCCTTGCCAAAGAGCATTCTTGGTTCGTAAACTTTTCCTCTGACCACTGTGCCTAAAATACCTCCCCCACTTAATGTGGTTCCTATTCATTTGCCCACATTGCTGTTTGTAATCCGCTAGGTGGGAAGGGAGTTGGGCTGAAGGTCAGGAACTCACCCTGACTTGGCTTTGAACTGTCAACCTTTCAGTTGGCAAGATTTACTGCAGCTGGTGATTAACCTGCTATGCTAAAGCTGGCCCCTTAGCATGTGCCCTCTGTACATGTAGTCATACTTTAAGAATCCTTGCATTTTAACAGAATAATTGTGTACCTTATAAAAACATTTTCCCCCCTAAAAACTGTTGTAATGCACCACCTGTAAATTCGTAATGGTTACACACATATTATGGTTTTATTAACATCATATGGTATACTAATTTAATAGATGTCCAGATCAGACGGGAGGAAGTGCAAGAACAACTGACCAAAGAAGATCTTGAAAAGCGTGTGGATATTTTCCTAACAGAGACAGAAACCATTTGGTTATTTGACATGCCGACTCTCATGGTATCTACAGAGTCTGAGGAAGCTGAGAGTGTGAGGTAGGCATAGTTCCAATCTAATGAGGGCATCTATTAGACCTGGTAGCTTTAGCTATTTAAGGAAATTTAAGAAGACCTCCCTGATGATATTAAGAATTCAGATCCTTCTTATGAGAGTTTTGTCTTTCCTTGGTGTTAATAAAAATATTAAAGCTTGGGGCTTACAAAAATGTGTTAATATAAACCTTACTACTCATGATTCAATACTTTTCAGATAACAAGTACCAACATAATACTTTTAAAAACTTAATTTAACAAATTACGAGAAAATTATAATTTGAGTATCGGTCTTTGTGTTTGTTCCTTCTAAAACATTTTTGAAGAGTTTAGGGTAATTTTTGTCTTTTCAGCAGTTTAAAAATATATAAAGTAATGCAACAGCAAGGTGTTACTAATGAATAAAACTATTACTGGTAAGTGAAAATGACATAATTTGGCCCTGTTAGAGTAGATACACTGAAATCAGTGGGATTTCCATACATATTGATTCAACAGTCAACAATGGCCTCTAGACCAGGAGGCCCTTGAATTTTTTAAACAGAGGGCCAGTTCATGGTCCTTCAGACTATTGGGGGAAGGGGGGCAGCTATAGTTTGTTGTTGTTGTTTGTTGTTGTGTGCCTTCAAGTCATTTCAGACTTAGAGTGACTCTAAAGCAACCCTATCACTGAGTTTTTATGTCAAGATTTATACAATGGGGATTTGCCTTCCTCTTCATCTGAGGCTGAGAGGGTGTGACTTGCCTAAAGTTACCCAGGGAAATCAGAGACACAGTCTGAAGCTGAAACCACTACACCATGCTTTCTGAATTCTTTCCCTCTCTATTTTCTATCTACCTTTCTTTCACCCTTTCTTCTCTTCCCTCCGTGTTTGCCATTTAACTTTCTTCCTTTTCTTCTTCCCATCTTCCCTCTTTTTCCTACCTCCTTTTCTTTCTTTTTCCCTTCCTCTATTTTGGAGGATGGGGTAAAGAGAATTCCCTCAGTTTTGGGGGAAATAGAAAGAGAAAAGGAAAAAAGAGTTAAGTAGCAGGAAAAAGGTGGAGAAGATCTCTCTATTTTGGAGGGAGATAGAGGAAGGGAAAGGGAAATGAAAGGAAAGGAGCAAGAAGAAGGTAGTGGCAGGTACAAACGGTGGCAGTGGTAGCGCAGAGTCTAAAGTTTAGGACAAGGGCTTGATAAAAGACTTTGGCAGGCTGGATCGAACCCACCGGCCATAGTTTGAGGACCCTTGTTCTCAACTAAAGATTATACACACACACACACACACACAACAAGAATTGATTAATTGAAAAGCAGTGTTACATTTCTAGTGAGATAAAAATGGAACACCCTCTGGCTGCTGACTGCCACAACTAGGAATGACATGGCTTCTCAAATCTTTATAATGTACTAGCTGTGCCCTGCCACGCGTTGCTGTGGCCTTTAGTAAGAGTTTTGAAGTCTCTGCCTGGCCTCTCTTCCTTCCTTCACTCGCCCTCTTTCCCTCTTTCTCTCTCTCACACTCCTTCCTTTCCCCTCTTTCTCTCTCTCTCTCTCTGGCATCCCTCCTTCCTCCCCCTTCTTTATGCTTGTGTGTAAACTTGAGTATCTTCTGTTGGTCATGGGGGTTCAGTGTGGCATGTTTGCCCCAATTCTGTCGTTGGTGGGGTTCAGGATGCTCTTTGAGTGTTGGTGAACTCTGAATCCCAGTGACTACAACTCCCAAATGTCAAGGTCTATTTCCCTCAAACTCCATCTGTGTGGATATTTGGGCGTATTGAATGCTTTGGTCCGGATCCATCATTGTGTCTTCAAAGTCGCCCCCTCCCTTCTCCCCACCCCTTCCCTCCCTGAGTCACTCCTTCCCTCCTCCCACCCCCTCCGGAAAGACACGCCCCCTCCCTTCGCCCCACCCCTTCCCTCCCTGATTGACTCCTGGAAGGAAAGGGGTGGGGCGAAGGGAGGGGGCGTGTCTTTCCGGAGGGGGTGGGAGGAGGGAAGGAGTGACTCAGGGAGGGAAGGGGTGGGGAGAAGGGAGGGGGCGACTTTGAAGACACGCCCCCTCCCTTCTCCCCACCCCTTTCCTCCGTGACTCACTCCTTCCCTCCTCCCTCCCTCTCCGGTTAGACATGCCCCCTCCCTTCGCCCCACCCCTTTCCTTCCAGGAGTGTCTCAGGGAAGGGATGGGGCGAAGGGTTCCGGTGGGGATGCGGCGCAGCGAGGCTTGGAGTGTGCGGAGCGGAGCTTGGAGGCAGCGTGGGAGGAGTAAGATGAAGGAGGGGGTGGAGGGAAGGGGGCGGGGGGAAGTTGCGTTGTTTGTGTGTGTGTGTGTGCCGTGTGTGGGGAAGTGCGGTGACGTTTTCGCGCTGGGCGGGGCGAGGGAGGGAGGGAAGTGTGTTGGCCGTTCGGCCATGTGTGCGCGCGCGCTGGGGACTTTGCGCCAGTGCGCATGCTCAGTTGTTTTGCCGTTTTTTGTGGTTGTTGTTGTGTGGTTTTGATTTCTGACTGGATTAGTTTGTACCTAGTGGGTTGTCCTTGGGGCATGGCAATTTTGGTGGAGTTTGTGGAGGGGTTTTAGAGTTTTGCTTCCCCGTTGGACGCCAGTAGGAAATTTATAGCTATAGATGGAAGATGTTCTACATGGCATATTACTTTTATACTGTGGCTCTCCACATCGATCTTATGATTTGTACTCTGCCACTGAAAGACCAGCCAAAAATATTACAAGCAGTAGCAAAGTGAAATTAAAAACAATAAAATATGTCATACATCAAGGATAGGAGAAGGAGGCAGCAAAATTATGTAAACATAGGGATAGATCCCAAGTTCAAATCAGGATGGAGAGTAACACTTTATAGAAAGAGTAGGAGTGACAAAACATTCACTGGTTTATTCACTTCTAGCTTTATAATTGCGGCAGTTTTTTTATTATTGAGTAGGAGAGTTATTTATCAATAGCTTGATAGTGTCTGAGCAGTTCAGATAGTCTTTATAAATATCCCTTTCCATTCTAAAGAAGGTACTACAGAAGGTGTATCACGAATTTTGAACTCCACTTGAGACTTGGGCTACAAATTATTTCTGCAGTTACTGAGGGTCCTTACTGAGGGCGAATTAACATTTCCGCAGGTGCTTATTTTTAAAAAACAAATTTCTTTTGTTTTCAAAGGAAAAAAAATGTTGTATACATGGAACTCTGTAAAAACAGAGCTGGCAATGATCGGTATACCAACAGATGGATGCAAACAATTAATGGAGCACCAAAAACAAAGGAAGTACAATGTGACAAAATTGGCATGATTGACAAAGGTAAATAATTGCTTTGGAACATTCTGAGAAAATTTTGAAGGCGGTACAGAAAGACTTGTGCCTACCTTAAATGTTTCCTATTTTTTAAAAAATGTAGGAGTAAAGTCTAAGTTTCCCCCCCACCCCCACCCCAATGTAGGTAAATATAAACAAATATAGTGTGGCAAATTGGTTTGTTCTTAAGCGGAAACCTGTAAAACCATGATTTTTCTACAGAACTTGGAACGATTTAAGCAACATTTATTTAAGACTAAAATATTGTCAGAGTTTTAATCTGTAGAGCAGCTGGGATGGGATAACCTATACACTTCTGTTTTCATCCTTGCTCTTAAGGAACAGAACTTCGGTGTAAGAAGGACTATAGCAACATACAATTGCTGCTAAAGCTTGTATTTCCTCAGCTCAAGATATGCTTCAGAATGAAAGTAAAAAAGCAGGGTCTAAGGTTGAACTTCCACTGGTGAAACTATGGAAGACAGAACAATGGGATCTGTAAGGGGTGATCTCTCCTTCCTGCCACAGCCCTGCATGCATTTCCCCAAGCCACTGGAGAACTGTGAGCCCTTCCACACAGCCATATAACCCAGAATATCAAGGCAGATAATCCTTAATATCTGTTTCGAACTGGACTATGTGAGTCCACAGTGCCATATAATTAAGTTCAATATGGATTTTATACATCTGTGTGGAAGGGGGCTGAGAAACCTACAGTTGATTTCAGACAACCCCAAGGCCTGTGTAGGCTGGGAAAGGTCTGACTGTTCTAATCTAACAAATAGTGCAATCTTTGGGGAAAACATGCACAAGATGGCTGTATCTACACTGCAGAATCATAGCAGTTTGACACCACTTTCACTGCCATGGCTCAATGCTGTGGAATTTTGGAAGCTGTAGTTTTTTGAGATTTAACTAGCATCTTGGGAGAGCAAACTGTGCCAGCACGACTGATGACGTCGAAGACTCTGCCTCTTTCTCCGGCCGCATGGTTTTCCCTTTGCTAGGGCAGCGATGCGAGCGTACTCTCGCTGTTGACAGAATTCAACAGTGAGAGTACGCTCGCATTGCTGCCCTAGCAAAGGGAAAACCACGCGGGCGCGGAGAAATAGGCGGAGAAAGAGGCGGAGTCTTCGACGTCATCGGTTGTGCTGGCACAGTTTGCTCTCCCAAGACGCTAGTTTGCGGCGGCTCTTACTCTTCTCTGCCAGAGAGCTCTGTTGACCCAACAAACTACATATCCCATGAGTCCATAGGATAGAGCCCTGACAGTTAAAATGATGCCAAACTGCTATAAATCTACAATGTGGGTGGTTTCTAAATGCAGCATGAAAATAAACAGTATAAAATAATATGAATAACAATTAACACTTCAGTGTTTAATCCATCAATTACGTTAAAGAATGAAATACATTTAATCATTCGAAAGAAATTACCATGATGATTTAAGCCGTCTTTTAAAAAGGCTTTTAGTACAATCTCTAGAGAGCTTGGCCATATTAGTCTGTTGCAGGAAAGCCAAAGGAATCTCTTGACACTACAAAACCCAGCAAAGGGCATTGTTTCAGTTTTATGGATCCCAGCCTCTTTCATCGGATGCATGAAACATTATTCTAAATTTGAAAGTTCCATATTCACATGGGTATGTAAATAACAATGCATGAGTGAGCAGAAATGCACAAAATACAAGCGTAATGACTTTAACAGGCCATCCACAAAACAAGGATTGCATGACAATGCAGCTCTCCTGTGTGTTGGTGAGTTTATTTAAGGCAATCTAGGTGATAAAAAGACTCTTAGCCTGTTCAAGCAACAGGAGTTGGAGTTGAATGTCTGGATTTTTATTTTTATTTTACATTGGGGGCCCTTCCACATAGCCCTATATCTCAGAATATCAAGGCAGAAAATCCCATAATATCTGCTTTGAACTGGGTTATTTGAGTCCATACTCCAGCGTTTCTCAACCTGGGGGTCGCGACCCCTAGAGGGGTCGCCGGGCCATTTCGGAGGGGTCGCGGACCCATGTCCATTAGCCCCGCCCCCTCCACCAGGCTGCGCAGTGCTGCCTCAGTCGCCTGGCTATCGCCAGCTTTCGCCACTTGCCAGGACCGACGGGCGGCGTGAACCAGGCAAGGGGCTTCCCGCCAGGCCAGGCCGTGCTGCCTCCCTCACCTGGGTTGTGCCGCCTGCCGGGTCTGTCAAGCGGCAAAAGCCAGGAGAGGAAAGCAGCACCGCATGGCCTAGCCTTGCGGGTATCCCCTCGCCTGGCTCGTGCTGCTTGCGAGGCCCGATGGGCGGCGCGAGCCAGGGGAGGGGCTTCCCGGCAGGCCAGGCCACGCGGTGCTGCTTTCCTCTCCTGGCTTTTGCCGCTTGACAGACCCGACGGGCAACGCGAGTCAGGCGAGGGAGAAGAAAGGAAGGAAAGGGAGGGAAAAGGAAGGAAAGAAAGAAGGAGAGAAGGAAAGAAAGAAAGAGACAATGATGGAAAGAAAGAGAGAGAAGGGAGGAAAGGAGAAGGAAAGGGGAGGGGGAAAAAGGAAAGGGCTGGCAGGCAGCGGGAGGCGCACCCGTCTCTTTGGCCACTCTCCTCTTGCTGCTCCTGTTGCCCCCAGATGGGAAACCAGCAGCCGCCATGCCAGCAGCAGGGCCAAAGGGCAGCAAGAGGAGAGCAGCCGAAGACTAGGAGCATAGTGAAGAGAGACAGATGCTCCTCCCGCTGCCTTCCAGCTCTGCAGCCCCAGGTGCTTTCCTTCCTCGCTCTTTCTTTTTTCCTTCTCTTTATTTCTTTCCTTCTTTTTTCCAATCTTTTCCATTTCCTTCCTTCCTTCCTTCTGCTGTAATCCCTTCTTTTCTTTCATCTTTCCCTTCCTTCCCGCCGCCCCTCCCTCCTTCATTCCTTATTTTCCTCTGCTCTTGGCCCGTCCCTCCCTCCCTCCCTCCATTCAGATCCAGCTCCACCCCTCATCCTCGCCCTTCGCAGCCACTGGGGCAGAGAACTGTAGCAGCAGGGCCAAGGGGCCATGGATGCAGCAATCTCATCCCTCTGCCTCCATGCGCCTCTCGAGTGCACCAGGATTCCAATTCCAGGATATCAGGTTTTTATGCCAAATTTGATAAAGATCCATCATTGTTTGAGTTCACAGTGCTCTCTGGATGTAGGCAAACTACAACTCCAAAATTCAAGGCCAATGCCCTTCCATGGACTATTATTATTATTATTATTATTATTATTATTATTATTATTATTGCTCCTGCAGTAATTCTATCTTCCTGTGTGACAGAAAGAAGAGGCTGGACTACATGACCTTTGGGGTTCCCTTTCAATTGTATGAGTCTTATAATACTACATAATAATAACAATACACTAATTCTATATTCCTGCCTGGTATAAAGGAGGGGGCTGGACTAGATGACCTTTGGGGGTCCCTTCCAACTGAGTCTAATAAATAATAATAATAATAATAATAATAATAATAGTAATGTATAATTAAAAAATAGTAACTCTTATTTTCCTGCCTGGCATAAAAGGGGGCTGGACTAGATGACCTTTGGGGTCCCTTCCAACTGAGAATAATAATAATAATAATAATGTATAATAATAAAATACTAACTCTTATTTTCCTGCCTGGCATAAAAGAGGGGGCTGGACTAGATGACCTTTGGGGTCCCAACTGAGTCTAATAATAATTAAAAAAATAGTAACTCTACAACTCCCAAATGTCAAGGTCTATTTTCCCCAAACTCCACCAGTGTTCACATTTGGGCATAATGAGTGCTTGTGCCAAGTTTGGTCCAGATCCATGGTTGTTTGGGTTCACATTTGCTCTCCAGATGTAGGTGAACTATATCTCTCCTAAATCACTGCCAACCCCCTCCAGTATTTTTTTTGTTGGTTATGGGGGTTCTGTGTGCCAAGTTTTGTCCAGGTCTTTCATTCGTTGGGAGTCTCAGTTGTCTGTGGAAGTCAGAACTGAATCTGTTGAAGGTACTGCAAAGCCCATCATCCATTGTCCATACTCCTCCAAACATGTTTTGGTGATTAATCTCTATGCTTTAATTATGTTCAATTTGTAATGATGAAAATACATCCTGCATATCAGATATTTACATAACGATTCATAACAGTAGCAAAATTACAGTTATGAAGTAGCAATGGAAATAATTTTATGGTGGGGGCGGGTCACCACAATGTGAGGAACTGTATTTAGGGGTCACGGCATTACAAAGGTTGAGAACCACTGCCATATTCAGTTAATATAGGATTTCCTGCCTTGATGTTCTGGGATATAGGGCTGTGTGGAAGGGCCCCGAGTCCATACTTCTATATATCCAAGTTCAAAGCAGATATTGTGGGATTTTATTCAGCTGTGTGGAAGGAGCCAGAGTTGTCTCCACTTCTAATATGATGCATGCCATTGGTTGGCAATATGCCTGCATGGCTTACTTAGGGTGGTGCCTGAGTCATAAAATAAATGGACACAAATGTGATGCCAGAAGTGACCAAATTCAAAAACTCCCCCAGAACATTCTGTCAGTGACTTTCTAGTGGCTGCTCTTGGATGAAGCTGAACATCAATTCATCCAAGAGATTACACCTATCTTCCAACTCCACACTTGAAGATAGTCCAAATGTTTTTTTTTTAAAAAATATCACTGCCTGTCTTAATATCACTGAGTATTATCAACAAACATTATTTTCTGTATGGCTATTGTTAAGATAATTATTGTTTCCATATTTTTTAGCATTTCAACTCCCTCTGGCCTCTCCATTTGCAGCCTCATCCTATATGTATAGGAAATTACAATTAATGTTTATGTTCAGATGATGTAGATGAAAGCTTATTCTGCAACATTTTCTTCATCTTTAAAGTTTCAGAAGACTTTTATTTTAATACAAGCTGTTATTAAAACCTTCAGATGGCAAACATCATCTTAAAGGAGTCATTAATCTGTCTTTCAAAAGCTACGGAGAGGCATGGCTTTTCTAAGATAATGTATTGACTTTA